GGGGACCTAATTCTTACCTACGCCCTGTTTGAACAAAGCTTGGCAAACAGGTTTTTTACCGTTGACCCAGCAAACACCCGGCGGGGACATAGTAAGAAAATCTTCAAGCTCAGGGCACACACATCCGTTAGACAAAACTTTTTTTCATTTCGGGTAGTAGCTGCGTGGAATGACCTTCCTCCGACGGTTGTACACGCTCCTTCTCGAACCCAATTTAAAGCACTATTAGACATTTATTTATGCGAATCCTCGCGCTGGCGAGCATACTGCCCCGCGCTGAGAACATAAAGAGCAGTGCTACACCCTTTTTTCGCTTGTGCCTTTCAGGGGAACGACAGCCACTGACCGACAAGAACAAAACCGACCCGGGAAACTTGGGCAAAAGCCTAGATCCTGTGTATCAATCCGTGATCCGTGAATCCGTGAATCCGTGAACACTGGGCCGTGATTGGTTGTTGCGCTCAGGCTTTCGGCCAATCACAGCTCGCCTTGATACAGGACGGTGGGGCTCTAAACTTTTCTCCAATCTCGTACGGGATAGTGTAGTATACGGTGTTTGTCATTTTGATTGATTCATATGTAAGTATTGGCGATGTACAACCTTGCTTACTGGGCTCTGGCTCATGAGCTTTGTTTCTGTTTTCCATCCACAGAAATTGTCGTGAACATCTGCCTTCGGAGAATCACTGTCCCTTGGTGCTTCCATAGCGTGCATATTACAGATAGGCTTCTCAGGCGTGCAGTGATTTGCTGCGAGCGCTAAAGTAGAATCTGTGTGGAATTCGACCTAACAACAGACCAAGAAACCGAGAGGCATTGAGTTTGACTGAACTAGATAACCTGTTGTCTGGTTGCACGTCGCCCTGCAGGGCTTTTGTTTTCTTACATTTTCTGGTTATCGTAGTGATTTACCAGCTGTATCTGCTGTAGTTCTTGCAAAAATAGCACATTTTGAACCATCGTAAGAATCTACAGGTGGACGAGTATATAGCAAATCTAGGACTGCTCCTGCCACACGGCATGCATATCATATGAATGTCGTCAAACACTATGGATACCATCTGCGATGTGTCATCCTTGTGCTCAAATTGTGGTCTACCCGTTTCGGATTCCGACAAAGCTTTGAAATGTGATATTTGTGCAACCTGGGAGCACACAGAGTGTTCCCACATTCACTCGTCTGTCGATGCTGCTCTCGGCTCATCCCAGTGATAACTTATCATTTACGTGTACTAGATGCAAATCTACCTCCACATCACCTTTAATGGCTAAGCGAGGTGTGCGCGGTTTGCCTACACCTGGAAAGTGCAATGGAAAGCAGCAGCGTACAAGTGCGTGGTCGGAGTCCACGCTGGTGTTCCAGAAGCAGCGGCAGGCGGTGATTAACCCTTGCACCGATAACTGACGGCGATGTGGTCTATTTGGATTCGGCGCTGGTTTGATGGTGGGCACGTTGTCAACCGATTTCCGCTGTTCCGGAAATTCGTACTGCACAGGAGCAGCCTGTGATCGACACACATCTGAAGTAAGCGATCTCCGTTGTCCGTGCGTCTAGTGTCCAAACCAAGACGACCACTCAATCGGGCCTCAGCAGCGCTTAGTCTACCTACCTGGGCGTTCATATCACCAGCAACCACAACGATATCTTAGCTTTTAGCCTGCTGTAGAAGGGCACCTAGAGCGTCATAGAAACTGTCCTTGGCAGATTCAGAGCTACAGTCAGTTGGGGCGTAAGCAGAAACAATAAACAAGGTGCGATGAACCTCACTTCCTCTAGATTCTCTCACCGATGTTGCCAAACGAACCGCACAGAGGCGACTGTCTACGGGTATCCAATCAAGCAGAGACGCTTCCGCTCGTTCGCTCAATACAATACCCACCCCAGCATATCCAGCTGCAGTGGCCTCTGCATCACCAGAGATGCGCAGTCGGAACCTGGAAGAGAGCGAGGGGGCGGTCAGTTCGATTACAGTACTTGCGTCCTGCGTCCTTGTTTCTGACAGACAACATACATCAATACAGAGGGAATCCAGCGTACGCGCAAGAGCCACCTGTTGATCTGCTTGCTTCATTGTGCGAACATTGAAAGTGGCTAAGTAGACAGGCTTTCGGGGTTTGAAAACAGACTTCGAAGTGTTTAGGGTTGTAACTGAACTCGGACGTGCAGAGGCTGCGGCTGATTCAGGGCGAGCAACACGGTCAGTCCTAGAGCTGGGACCTGCGGAGAAAGTATTCGAATTTGGGTGGGGGAGGGTGGAAGAAGGAAAACGTGAAAGTGTAAGGAGGGAGGCGTCAGCAGTAGCATTTTTTTCGCTTACCCGCCCTGCTATATGCAGCAAGTAAGGCGAACCGGCTGATGTCACCACGCGACGGCTGATGTGGCATGATTTTATTTGTGTATGTGCAGTTCATGGTTGTACGTGGGCTGGGATACTGCCCGGGCGCCCACACCTAGACAGGAGGACGATTAGGGTCCTCATCCAAAGCCTTTGGCTCAAAAGCCTAACCATAAGGCAGCGGTGTTCGGCTGGAAATGCAAGTACATTACCGTTTTTTACGGAACACGTCGCCATACATGTTCCAACCCCCAACCTGGAGGGCCAGGAGAATGTGTTCGTCGGACCTCTACCCATGGACCAACCTGGTATGAGAGGCTCTGTGAGCATCGTGCGGACACTCCCCAGTATAGCTCAACGGGTCGCCGAGGTACACAAACCACCACACCACGGTAAGGTCCAGTCTGTTCGTGACGGAACCACTTGCCAGCGGAACCATCAAGGAGTGGAATGGAGCCACAATGTTCAGTAAAGAAATCGCTTCGACCGGTGGGACGGTACACCGAACAACAATCATCGTGGCCACCAGCTGCCACTCATCTGGAGCTCACAGCTGACTTAGAACCCTGGATGGTGAACGTGGAACCGTTTACGGCCTCGGAGGTTTATTGCTTAATATGTCCTTGCAGGTGCTACGGAGCTTCTGGTCAGGACTTCCTCCCACCTGCATTGTTCAAAGATGGGGGCAAGTCCTCAGTCAGTGCTTGTCTGATCTGTTTGCTTGGATTAAGGAAAAAGAGTCTGTCCCAGACAACTGGGGCAGTCGGTGATGGTGCCCATTTCGAAAAAGGAGCTCGTCGTGAGTGTGGCAACCCCAGAGTGGTCAGCTTGACTCCGGTCGTAACGAGGCTGTTGATATAAATTTTGCATCGTCTCCTTATACTAATAAGTACTAATCGTTCATTTGTAACACCCTTTCGGTGCCTAGCCACCATGTCACCCGAAGGAAGCGTGAGGGCTGGAGTACTGCCGGATTGCCCAAGCTTAGACAGGAGAATTCGAGATGCATAGGTCGGGTTTGAACCTCGGAGCTTCCAGTGAGTAAATTCGCAGTCTAATCATTGGGACATCTCACCCCCTTGTCACCTCATGGTGGCTCGTGAAACACTGACTTGAGAGCAGCAACGGGATTCCGGTCTGGAAGCGATTGTGTTGGCCAAACCTTCACACTGCGCCTGGTGCTAGAACAATGCCATACATACAGGCAACCCATAATCTTAGTGTTCTGGGATTTTCAAGGTGCATTCGACTTGGATGGCCGGTCTGTTTTCTCGTTGCCAATCAAGGAATGCCTCAGAAGCTTGTGAACATAATAAGTTCATTGTATTCTCAGACTTCCGGACGTGTGAGAGTATACGAAGAGGTTCCCAAAGGCTTCCGTACACAGCATTATCCGTCGTAGGTGCCCTTTTCTTACCATTCCAATTTAATATCGTGATCGATGAAATAATGAGACGGACGCCGAACGGTCTCCAAGACCGTGTTCAAGTAGTCTCTGGCAAAAACCTTGTCGACGTGGAATATGCAGATGACATAGTCCTCATCTTCGATGAATGAACTGACCAGTTATCCCGTCCTTTGATATGCACTTTGCACCCACAAAGTGTAAGGTCCCGATCTCGGACATGCAGTCACTGAACACGCCACTTACGTTCCAGGGAGAAGCACACAAAGTTGTGAAGCGCTTTACGTATCTTGGAAGTCGTATTATTTCTCATTATAGTGTGACAGATGAGATCCACAAGGCTTGGGTCGCTTTGGCTGATTCGGGACACCTGTGGTGTCTCAAGGGACTCGTGTGTCAGGCTACAATATGGGCTGTTTTGTTGTATGGCTGTGAGACTTGACCTATTCGAGCAGCGGAACTGAGACATCTTCATGTGTTCGACAATCTCTGTCTCAGGACCATAACTCGTGTGGGATGGTGTCAGCGAATTCCTAACGAGGCATTTCGAAAGCGAGTTTTCGGTTGCGTAGAGGAGACCCCATTGAAGAATGTGTCCGTCACCAGAAGATGCGTTGGGCTATGTATTGTCTTTACCGAACCATCGTTTGCCAAAAAGGTATGTTTTGGTGCTCAATTCCGAGTGGTGAAAGTAGGGAAGTGGCCAGTCCTTGACCAAGCAAATTGGTATGAGAGGTTACGAAACGTTTGGGTTCCGTCGGTTCTACTGGCTTCTACGTTGGGGACCACGTGATCCCTATTGCGCCCGGTTGGAGACGCTGCAAGATATGGCTGCTAACCAATTTCAACCGATGTCAGTTTTTATCCAGATTGCCTGAGTGAATTTCTGGAGGCATGGGTGCCTCGGGATGATTGTAGTTAGCTGGCACTAAATCCCTTCCCCGTCTACCTTCATTATTTTCTTCACAATAAAGCTTTCAAATAAATCATGGTTGTACGGCAGCGAAGCGTCAGTGTTGAACACTGATGTCATGCTGTCAATGCTGACGATGACAAAACGTACCGATATTGTCTCTCATACGACCTACCATAGCTTTACCGGTGGTACTGAGAGGTTTGGCGGTCAGTTGTTGTCAGTTTTTACACCAACTATTTGGCATTATTCATTTCCCATCTTTTATCTTTTAATGAATATATTGACATCTTTATGCGACGATCGTTTAATCATCAGTGATGATGGTGAAACAACAAACTGTTGGTGTGTTTTTTCTTATCTAGTCGGCACCGCGATCTTGGTATTTTATTGTTGTATACTGGTTTCTCTTATGTTTCATCATCATCGTCATCATCATCGACAGCATGACATTAGTGTTCAACACCGATGCTTCACTGCCGTACAACCATGACTTATTTGAAAGCCTTATTGTGAAGAAAAGAATAAAGGTGGATGGGGGAGGGACTTAGTGCTAGCTTAACACAATCATTCCGAGGTCCCTACACCTCCAGACATTCACTCAGGCAATCTGGACAGAAACTGACAACAAGAGCGCCACTGACATCGGTTGGCAGCCATATCTTGTAGTGTCTCCAACCAGGCACAATGAGGATCACGCGGTCCCCACTCTTTTATGTTTAACTCAGCTTTTGTTCCTGACTGCTAGTTGGTGCACAGTCATCCACTTGTTTCTTTGTTTCAGGTAGTCATTCAACTTATGTTGCGTTGAATACCTGAAAATAGACCGAGAGCCGTATGTCGACCGTGGACGTTTCGAAACTGAGGTAACACTGCACATCATTATGTGCTTATCACATTTGCACTGCAGTCACCGCGCAAGGCGTGCGTATTTGAAGAAACAGAAACGGAAGCGACTACGTCAGGCAGCTGCCCGATCTCGTGATGAGACAGAAGCTAAAGGTGCCCATATCTAGACTATTCGCTGGTCTCATTGAAATTTTTGTTGCAGAACTCACCCGGCGTGAAGCCTCGCCATCCTACCAACGGCAACTGGAGGAGGAACAAGAACGAGAGAGGATAGAGGCTGCACAAAAGTAGACATCTCTCAGTGTTGTGTAACTTTACACAAATTCACTCCTTGGTTCACTTTACCACCCCGCCACTGTACCTCTTCATCTCCCAACAGGGAACGTGATGAACAGGAGTGGCTGGCACGTGAAGCTCGTGCTCAGCAGGAGTGGGCTGAAGAACAGCGCCGCCGAGAAGAAACCAGACAGAAAGAGATAGAGACACAGGTGACTCACCTCACACTTTTTGAGCGTATTATTGTCATCCCCTTCACCTGACGTCGCTTAGTTGAGTGACTTTTTCTAGCACTGTTTTGTATTGTTCGACGTTGCACTTTGTCAAGTCTGTAGTGTGGCTCGAAACCTTCCGGAGCTCAGCACTCTTGAGGGAACTCCTCGGAAAATAATTCGTAGAATTATGAGTGACAGGTGTTATAAATGGGTTAGGTAGCCGGAGTGATGCATGCTGAACACCACATTCTAGATTGTTCATGTTGGCTGGCTTGAATTCAGTTCACTCTGTGAGACTGTTCGCTGGGGGAATTCATCGCTTATTACGGACGGAATTGAGTGAGCCTTCTCCTAGTGGGCAAGATGGCTCAGTGGTTAGAGCGCGAATTTAGTGACCGGAGGGTCCGTGGATCGAACTAAACCTCCGCCTGTCGACTTCCCCTGTCTGGGCTTGGACAACCTGGCAGTATCCCAGCCCTCTTGCTTCCTTCGGATAGCATGACAGCTAGGCACCGGAAGGGTGTTACAGCTGAACGCCTTTTTAAACACTACTTTTAAGGTTGCTGGAAATTCGTCGACAGCCCTCGACCGGTTTCGCCATTCGTGGGGCTTATCAAGTAGATGCACTCCCCGAGTTTCCGTCAACCTTATGTTCTAGTTGGATCACTATGGCGTTAAACATCCATGCCGCAATGTTGAATGCGGATTTACAGCGCTTCTGTGAGCCTTCTCACGCAATTGTATAGGAGCGCAGCGACGTGGCGAAACGACCAAGACCTGGCTATTACTGTGTTTTGAGGCCATGAAGCCAGGGGCTAATATCGCAACCCCGGGAGGGTTTTGGGCATTACCAGTTTGGCTCACCGTGATTCAGTGCTTGATAAGGTTCCTTATCTGAAAATTGAGGCCGCTGGTTACGTCCTCTCGCACAGTTCCAAACCAATATATAAAAACCAATCAAAGTTGCTCATATTCCTCACAAGGGGGAGAGAGGGCTCAGTGGTTAAGGCGCGAATTTAATGACTGGAAGATCCGTGGTTCGACCCGGACTTCTGCTTCTCGACTTCCCCTGTCTAGGCTCGAGCAACGTGGCAGAATTCCAGCCCTCGTGCTTCAGTAGGTTCATAAGACTTCTGACCTAATTTTTGCATTTACCGTAGAAGTAATCGGGCCTTTCATGAACTGTCACCTGGCCACAGCCAGAGAAGTAGCCGTCGGGTGTCTCGTCTTTGTCGAGGCTCATTCGTACTGAATGCACTGAGGCCTGATACGGGCACCATATCGGGTTCCCATGGTTATGATTCGTTTGCCTTCTTCAACATGGCGATTTTATGCATCCGCCAAGGCATTCAGTTTATTATTTTTGCATACTTTCGGCTGTTTTATTTCGCTGGGTTGTTAGCAGTTTAGCCCTTCGACTGGAGGGAGAACATATTTACGTTTGTCCTCAACACCATGTTTTCAGACTACGGCTGTTGTTGAATCTGTTTCTCGTATTTACATTCCAGCGCCAAATTCGTGCTGATTGGGAACGTCAGAAGATGACAGAGCAAACTGCCGAATCCAGTCAAGTCGGCAAAACTCCTTTTGTCAAGGTTGCCACCGTTCTAGTTCTCTGCGAACTTCCTCAGAGTTGTCGTATCCTCTGGCGTATCACGTTTTCGCTGTATCTCGTTCCATTTAACTCCATACACTTTCGAGCAACGGGGCACGAAGTCGATTCGAACAATGTTGAAAGACCGCCACCTCCAGTCTCTCCGAATCGCCGATACTGTTGCATACCAAAGCAGATTTGTAACTTCAGGGATAGGAGACCAGTTGAACAGTCTAATTTTAAACCTCTGTTGAACACATGAGGCATTTGATCTCTCCTGGCGTGCATGGACTTTTTTGGAGGTCATGCACTCATAAGCTTTAGGCTAATTAATTATCCATGGGAGTGACCTCTGCTTTGGGTGGAGGGGTGCTCACCACTCCAGAAACCGAGAGAAGGTAGCTATTTAAAGAGGGGATTCCCTAACAAAGTAGCTGTCGCAATCTTGAAAGGCTGAAGGCTATGCAATGCGGGAATTACGTATCCTACTTTCGGACTAACCTCTCCACTTCTAGTTTTCCTCAAATAAATACACTTCGTCCACTGTATCCCACCTTTGCCGTTGATAACTCGAGTTACTGCATCCATGTAAATGCCTTGTGACTGTCGTTTTACCCATCTTTACAATTTTTTAGGATTTTCTATCCCCAATGAACTGTTTATTGCGCAACAAAGAGAAGGACATCTGGGACGTGGTTTTTATCAACCTTGAGGCTAGTGTGAAAAAAATCCGAATGTTTGAAAACGAGTCTCACACAGGATGTGCGACTCAGTTACCTGGCACATGTTCGTTTGTAAAACAGCTCGAAAGTGTCGCATGCCCGACCCTTTAAGACGTACCTGATAAGTCTCAAACAAAGTTAAGCGCCTTTTGGATCTGACCACCTCTTCACCACAAAAATGTCATCTAATTAGGTGGCCCAGCTTGGACAGACGACGTTCGGTATGTTTGCTGAACCGAACCATTGGTTTACAAACTTTTCATCATGAGGTGAATTGACATAGTCAGCTTCGCAACGGTGGTGGTGAAGCCTACGCAACTCGATTGCCCGGCTCACTAAACAGACCAATGTTGAAACTATTCAGTGTCAAAGGCTTTTTCTGAAGAGGCCTGTCTTGATAAATAGAGCCCACCATTTAGATCTGCCCTTCTCTGAGTAGATGGCATTGTATCATTTCTTAAATTGTGAAATGGTACTGACAAGACACCTGTAACATGCAACCCCGTTTTGTGCATGGTTGTCGTACAACCAATGAGAAGTATGAGGCTGAGTAACTGTCACATTTCCAAAGCTTAATCAGAAGTAATCGAGCCATAGACCTGTCCGTCATTGACCGTGACTCAGGCGATTACTCACCATCATCATCGACAGCATGACATCAGTGTTCAACACCGATGCTTCACTACCGTATCGATGTTTCACTGCCGTAATTACTCGCCATAAGTTCGTCTGAACAGTGTTCAGGTACTACCCGATGGATATGGATTCGAATCCAATTGGGAATTTTCTAGATCCAGCCTTCCGATGACTCAACCTGACTGAGACAACCGTACAGTTCTTCCAGGCATAGCTTGACACTGTCAAGTGGATCGATCCATAAGCAAACAAAGCAAAATACTGAATTTCTGGTCACAGTTGCTTGCTAGTTTATTTTTGAACCCACACAATCATTACTTCGATTTCCCTTGCAGGTAGCAGTCCGTCGTGTTGAACTTGATGGTCATCTTAAGAGGTGTCATATTTCCACTTTTCATATATATAAGTTCGGTTATGCTGCGAGATGGCCCAAGTGATTAAAGCGCGAATTTACTGATCGGAAGGTCTGTCGTTCGAACCCGACCTCTGCTTCTCGACTTCCCCTGTCTAGGCTTGGGTAACCTGGCAGCATCCCAACCCTCGTGCTTCCCTCGGGTAGCATGGCAGTTAGGCACCGGAAGAGTGTTACAGCTGAACAATTATTATTCTTATTACTATTCCTGCTGCCGTCCTGTGCACTTTGTATACGTGACCTTCAACACAAACTCCAATGATTAGCTCACTGATGTCATCTGCCTCCTGTCACTCGGACTTGATAATCGTGCGAACGAGTCTCGGTTCTTCACCACATCCATTATGATAATACGTCGACAAGCTCTTGGCAAAGCTTTTACGATTGTTTTCCTTTGACTGGTCATGTGTGTGTGTGTATTTTCTTAACTGCCGTCACACTAGACATGTGTCAGGAGCGAGCAACGCACAGTCCAATGATACATATTTGTCCATCTTTTTTCGGTGAGTTCGTTTCTCGGTGCTCATCGATTTTATTTCGTGACTCTGCGGAATCCGACTGATCTTAAACTCTGCGTTGTAATCAAAACGTACTACAACCAATAGTGCTTATTCTGAGGGCGGTATTTATTTGAGGAGAACTGAGAAACTGACTTGTGTCTTGTGTCAACTACTGGTTTGGCCACAATTCAGCAAAATTTGATTTAGATTACCGAAACCTATTACATAATTACTTTTGTTCGTCTTGACGAACTTGTGGATAAAAATGTAATCTTTCGAGTTCGGTTTAGCCCCAGGGGTGGTTAAAACATCCACCATCAAGGACAGATATTGGCACCTGATGCATCGCGACGAGCCCATTCTTATGAAACTGGGGGGGGGGGTGACCAGCCGCTAGCAGAGTGCTATATCCATCCATATTGGCACCTGATGCATCGCGACGAGCCCATTCTTATGAAACTGGGGGGGGGGGTGACCAGCCGCTAGCAGAGTGCTATTCATATCCATCCCCTTGTCTAAGCCGACTTTACTTTGTGTTCCGATGAGTTTTTCTGGTTTTCAATCATTTAAGAATAGCTCCCTCGTACTGAACGGCATATTGTCCTCTACCTCGCTGATCTTCACTGTGTATTTTGATCGAAACCGTAATCTTGTCTCATGGGCACTGTGCATACGAGGCCGCAGGGTAATTATGCTCAAGTCTGCATGAATGACGTGTCAAAACAGAGTGGTAGTATGTGCACACGTCCAAAGCCAATCAGAGCACGAAGCAACTCGGCGTCGACACTACAAATGGTCCCAAAAAACAGCATCACTTGGTACGGTTAGCTGTTGCATCTAGCCACATTCCACGTATTACACAGTATACTTAACTCTCTACTTTCCTAATATTACTTACTCTAGCCTGGTGCAGCAGTGACCCCCGAGAATACTTGCAGCGTCCTAACAAAACGTGTGACTTAGACGCTACAGCTACCCATCTGGACCCGGGGGATCAGGTTGACAGCTGTCCCGAGACAGGCCATATCAATGGCTAGGGACATTGCGAGACATGGCCCACTCGCGCCCTCAATGGCGCTCCTGCATCCAAGTTATTGCGTTCAATGCGTAGCTCCTTTTCCAACCAGCCCCCCACCCCACTTGACAGTTCACTGACAGTGCTGGATCTATGCACCAATTTATCATCTCCCGCCTGCAATGCGCAGCTACCTCCCCCTCCCCCCAATCATCGGTGAACGGAACTGCGACAGCTACAACCACCGTACGACGAGTACGCGGTTATTACAGCTGACAATGATGATGATGATGTCCCACTGTGACGGCTAGTTTAGGCGTCTGAGTACGGATCATTCCATTCGGCAAACCGGCACAAGCTGTCTCCCGATGACAGTGACCTGGTGGAGCAGTGAAAATCGCCCTAGGATCCAACATTTCGTTCACTTAGGCCGGCCACAAGCCCTTGCTAGGTGACAAATTCACTGGTCCTTTACTCGGAAAATCTTACTCTCTCTTCATATAGATGAGCACACAGAAGCTTGTCAGTGAAAAATCTATTCGTGCAGTGAACCACGACTACTGGTACATTCCTCAGTGGTAAAATTTACGCGGGTTCTTTTGCTACAGGGGTGACTACTGCACGTTTGGACAGCCTCTCTCTGTTTTGGTAGCAAGCTTTGTGGACTTGAAAAAGGTCTGTGTGGGGGGCGGATCTCATAAAGGCATGGCTGTTTATGGACCTGAAAAAGGACAGCTTTGGGTTGAGCTTAGGAATTCATCGTCCGAAGTAGAACATAGCATACGGGATTTCCAGAACATATAAAACATATGTAGAGGAAAGAATTTAACGACGAGCCAGGCGAATTCCGAAAGGTTTTCTGATGTTTTTTTTTAATGTTTCGCTTCTAGGTGAGTCGAACTGCAGGGGCAGGCTACCAGTAGTATGTTGAAATGTTTCAGGTTTCCCTTTTGCCTCCCTTGTTATGGTAACGCCACAATAAGTATAGCAGGTTCTCTGCGATACCTGTTGTTTTGTTGGGGTTCACGTGCGACACAACTTACATCCATCCTTTCATTTCTTGATACCCATGTCGTACCATCATCTCCAAATTGAGTAGAATATTTTTCGATGTGCTTATTCCGTGGTTGGGACATCTCATTTCATTCCCGTTAACTTGGTCGCATACATAGGACATTGTTTCGGTTGAGTCGGATGATACGACCGACCTACCGCCGTGGCATCACCCTCCGTTACCTTCAACCGTACCTGTACCACCAGTAACTCTTCCGACCTACCGCCGTGGCATCACCCTCCGTTACCTTCAACCGTACCTGTACCACCAGTTAACTCTTCCAATCGCCCACCACAAGAACGGTGCAGCTTTTTTCGCAAAACAGGAACATGCCGTTACGGGTTTAGGTGAGTGCTTCCGGTGTGGTTGTTCACTTAGTTTGTGTTTTCACGATTGTGTACTTTTCTCCGATGCGAGGCTACACTTATCTCCGCACATGTTATCGTTTTGAGCAATATTTGCTTCACTAATTTGTCATTCTGGTCTTTCAAACTCTGTTATAACCTGACTTTCACATGTAATAAAGCAAGCAAGGTCCGGAATTGCAGTCACAGTTCGCGATGGGTGTGGTTCAATGACTTTTGGTTTGTTTTCGTGGTAGGGAGCCGCACAATGGATGTCATTGACTGTCTCATTGGCACTAATCATCGTTCAGCTGTCACACGCTTTCGGTGCCTAGCTTTCATGTCACTCGAAGGAAGCACCAGGGGTGGCAGATTGCTTGCGTTGGGTTCGAACCACGAACCTTCACGCCACAACCAATAAGCTGTCACTGGCACTGGTCTTCGATTCCCACTCATCGGTGTGTCACATTCATTTATTCAGCATGTCAGCCAGTTTTTTATGTCCAAAAATGAATCGGATGTGGGTACAGGGTATACCCCCGCCCTGTGAATGCTGGTGCATGTACAGATTGGTTCTGACCTCATCGCATCTAGTGTTGCTTAGAGCAGCTGGACACAGCATTCGCGGCGAACCGAGGTACTAACGTGGCACATGTTAGTATGGTTCAGCTGTATCACCCTTCTGGTGCCTAGCTGCCATGCCACCCGAAGGCTGCACGAGGGCTGGGATACTGCCCAAACCTAGACAGGGGAGTCGAGAGCCAGAGGTTGGGTTCGAGCCACGGACCTTCCGGTCAGTAAATTCGCTCTGTAACCACTTGGGTCACCTCGCACATGTTAGTATCCAGTGAACTGAGTCAAGTTCATTTTGAACCTGCAGGTTTTGATCTCTTGGGATTCTATTCAGTGATCATGAGTTCGCGGATGGTTACCGCAATCGGATATGTTTCGATTTTCCACCAAATTAGTTTTATAGGCAACGGAGATTCCGCGACATGGCACCACTCAACGTTGATGAAAATCTCTTGACAACTTGCCGCATTTGCATCTAATCAGGTAGCATTATTCCTTGAGTATCGTCAATCTTATTTGTTACTTCATTAACGATTTGGATGTGTGTGGAGTTATGCGCATTTAGTTGCGAGTTAAGCTTATGTTAATCGGAGGCAACCGAATACCTCGCGTCTACTATTTTTCAGCCGAAGGTCGTGCACAAATAGGCTGCTGTTTCTGTCGCTGACGTGGTTAACGACGGACCAGGCCGAACCCGTTCAGATTTTTGTCCAACTGCGGCACATTCAGAGATGACGTCACATTAGCGGAGTACGGGGTGTACGATTCGACAGCGGAATCAGTATTGCTCTACGACTATTAGGTGTTAAAGACGGAAGAGTAGGACAGTCATCTCCGCTTGTGTGTGTGTATCATGGGAATGTGGGATCAGTAATGTTGAAGGACGAAAAGTCAACTTTCATTCCAACGTTTGATTTGATTCGGCTGGCTCAGGCAACGTGTCAGGTTACTTTGCTGTTTGCTGAAGCCGGTTCAAATTGGAATGTCTCGTAGAGACATCGTTTATATTCTAAAGAGAATGGACTAGCATGTGTGTCGCACCGAATCTATCTCCAAGCCGAACAATGTAGTTTCCAATGGCGATTACATGTTTTGTTTGGATAGTCTAAAGTGTTTCCACACGTTTCCACGTTTAAGATGATCGGACCCTCGGATTGTTTGGAATGCTTTCTTTGCAGGATGACACTCCTCAAACGGAACAAGACAGCTGAAATGCAAAAACGTTTGGGGCCGATTGAAAAGTTCCGAGCTTTCAGAAGCGTTTGAGAAACAGTCGACAGATATATTGCTGGACAAAAGCTTCGTCAAGCCCGGTGACCAGGCTACGAGGTCGGTTGAGATTTAAGGTGACAGGGGAACCAGTCAACTAAGTCAGGCTAGGGTGGGTCTGCAAACGTTAAGATCAATGGGGAACCTTCAGGCATTAGGGTCTAGTTCTTCCCGTTTGATTTTACCTGAGGATTCCTCTTGAACGTAAACGACGTGTCATTGCGAAATAGGGTCCGTCGTTGTCAATCCACTTAGGATCATTAGAAAAAAACCGGGGGGTAGGGGTGGAAACCCCAACTGACCAAAGGTCACAGTATCCCTGTTACACAACTTTCTTAGCACTAGCTCACCCACACAGACTAACAGAAGGTTCAAACGAAGTTCAAGAGGAACCATCAAATGAACCGAACCAGAAGAACTAGACCCTAGGCTGGACCCAAACACATGTAGGTTTCCCCACCGACCCAACACTTGTTCAACCACTCTAACACACTAAAATCCCTCGGCCGACACCCAACAGAGATT